GTGCTGCCTGGGACACCTGGGCTGCTTTTGGGTACATGTGAAGTGGTGAGTACCCGACCCCTTTCATCTTCTAATTGTGATCTGTGATTTCTGCAGAGAACCTTCACACCTCTCCAGAACTGCCTTTGACGTGACAGCTCCGTTTCTTAATCCCTTGCTGTCTGTCCTGAAACTCTTCCTACTTCTCCTGTGCCTTTTTGAGGTGGGTGGCAGCATCTGCTCCCCCATGGCAGAACAGGGCTGCATCTTCTCCTGCCCAGCTCTCCCCACGAGCTGAGCAGCTGCCCAGCACTCCCCGGGGGCACAGCCCTCTGTTCCCAGTGGGGGTGGGAGTGTGCTGTCGCTGCTCGGGCACAGCTGGGGCTGTTTGTCCTTCTGTGCGGTGTGTCTGTCCTCCGGCCGTCGGTCCCTCAGCACGGGGCAGTGACGGAGTCGCCGTCCCTGCAGGGACCTGGCAGCCGTGTGGGTGCAGCACCCGGGGGCTCGGGTCAGTGCTGGAGGGACAGCTGGACTCGGCCTCAGAGGGCCTTGCCAGCCCAAGCAGCTCTGTGCCTCCATGGTGAAGTGGCTTTGCACTGCTCTGAACCCCGTCCTGCCTGGGCCTCGAGCAGCCCCGTCACCCCCTGAGCTCCCCGGAGCTCCGGGCGCTCAGCCCCTGGGCCACGGCTGCTCTCCTGCCAGCCCTGGGCTGCGGCCGGAGGACGGGCGGGCTGGCTGCTGAGAGCAGGGTGCCTCTGCCTGCTGCCAGCAGAGCTCCTTTGCTGTGCTCAGTTCCCAGCACTGGAGAACAAGGGGCTGGGCCAGACCCACGCCCTCCCCGCGGCGCCTGCACTGGGACCTCCTCTGGATTTTGTTCTGGCTCCGTCACCAAGGGGCTGCACAATGGGAAACAACCAGGCTGTAATCTTTAGGGTCTCCTTTGAGCCCCTTCATCCCACGGGAAATCCTCTGTCAGCTGGGACCCTTGTGAGCTCAGCCAGGTCCAGGTGTGTGTCCTGCAGTGTGGCTCCGTCCCTTCCCCAGGGTGGAGGCGGCCAGGGGCAGCTGTGTCCTGGCACTGGGGTCTGTGCCTGAGGCAGGGGACCCAGGCCATGTGGAGAGCCCACAGTCATGGGAGCCCCAGGTCTGTTATTTGGAAATAAAATGAAAGTGTATCTGGAAGGGCACATAGACAATGACTGTACAGAATGATCAAAGATGGAAATGTTCTGAATATTCAGCATTTCCTCCCATCAGGCCACTTAGATCTTTTCTTTCCAATTTAATTTTTAAATGCTCTACTGGTAGCTATGATGAGTAGTGATGGATTATGATTTAGTGGAAGATTAATGCTCTGTTAATCTGTGTAGTAAAAAGTCTGTGCTGAGATGTAGAACCTTGTGTGGTTCATAAGAGAGGGCAGGTCTGGGCTGTGCTCCCCCAGAGTTTTTAGTTAAATTCTGTTAGCCCCATGGTATCAGTGGGCTTGTGTTAAGTGCTCAATTCCTTCCATTTAACTTTTGAAGTTGCCCTGTCTATCAGTGTGTTTAAATTATTCGTTGTCTTCATGAAGCTGGTGTTTGAGCTTCTGTTCTTCTGTCTCCTGTTCCCGTGTGGTGTCACACTTGCTCCTCAGTTATCTGGTGATTCGTGTGCTTGGTGCTGACCCTTGCTGGTCAAAGGCTGGAAGCACACAGAAACCTTCTGGGTTTGCCGGGAATCAGGTACTGGCTCTGTTCCTGCTGCTCTTAGCCCATTGCATGGCGTGTCTGCCTGTCCTGGGTGTTTTCTGGCAGTGGCACTGAAAACTAAAAGGCAGCAAGTGTCACTTTTTAGGGGAGATTATTTTCTTCTCTGAGCACCAAGCCATCCTGCCCTTGATGCATGGTGGGACTCATCCAAGAATCCGGTGTGTAGTCCCAGCTCCTATTGCAATAACAGCAGGAAATTGTCCTTGAAAACCATGTTCGTGTTAAAAACCCAGGAAACCTCTGCTCCTGGGGTGTCTGTACCCAAAATCTGCTTTCCCCGTGTGCCAGAGTGTGCATCTCCCGTGCCCTCGGCTGGCTCGTGCCTTCTGCTGTAGCTGTGGGGCCCTGTGAGTGAGTGCCAGCTGCCCTGGGAGGGACCCTCTGTCCCTTGTCCACGGCTCCTGTCCCTGCTGGAGGGAGCCTCTGGGGTCCCAGCCCTGCCCTGCTCTGCCCTCCTGGCCCAGCTCTCCAGCCCAGGTCCCACTGGGATGGGGTGATGGGTTCTGGGGAGGGTTGGGGCACATTTGGGAGTGCCTGCTGCAGAGCTCCATGCCCAGAGAGCTGGCACTGTTGGGGCCAGGTCTGGATGCCTGGCATGCTCTCTGCAGCTGTGGCGTGTTTCAGTCGTTCACTTTCTCCTAATTTCTCAAGCAGAGAATGGAATGTTTTAAGAGAATTGTTGTGCTAGAGTAAATAAAGGAGTCCTGTTCAATACCAGATTAAAGAGTGCCTTATTTTGAAAGTTTGGGAGCATATTTTTTGCCTGCCTCTTTGATTCTTTAACTCTTTGACAGCCACCTTATCCCATTCCTTGGCTCCAGGGTGGTGGGAGTCCTGACTTTTGTCCTGAGACAGAGCATCACCAATGGCATTGCCAAGACTGTCCTCAGGAATGGGTTTGGGGAGGGAGGAAACATATAGGATTTCAGTCAATGGTTGTAAAGCCTTCCTCTTCTCCCGTGCTGTAAAATGGCTCCGTGGGAGGGAGGCAGGTCAAAGGTGGTGCTGGCCTGGACAGCGAGAGAAGATCTCCCATCATTGTGCTGTTACCCCTCTGGCCTGTAAGCTGAGGGCAATGCCCTGCTGGCTCCTCTGGAACAGCAGCAGGGGAAAATTAGAGGAGATATGCTCTAATTAGATCAAATTAGATGTGTGGTGTGAAACTTGGGATACACTGCCAGTGGTTGTAGATGGGCTGGTTATGGAACTGACCTGGCCAGTTCTCTCCAATGACCAGGAGCAGCACTGGGGCTCTCCTGATGGAGCAGAACAGACAAAGCATGAACTCTGGTGCGTGCTGTGCCCCTGAGGATGTCGGCAGGGCTGGGGACACGGGCTCCTTGGAGCAGGAGTGGCTGCACAGGTGTGTGTGAGGAGCTGTGTGGGGCACAGTGGGGCTGTGACACCGGGTTTGTCACCCCCTGCTCGGTGGGGTGGCAGTGGGAGACACCTGGATCTTCCCAAGGGCGTGTTCCAAAGGGCCCAGGATCCTCCCCTGATTCCACAAGAGCTGAGGCAGCTGAAGTAGCACAGGTGAAAGAAACCTGTGTATTCAATCATCTTTCTGCTCTGTTAATAAAGAGTTCTGGATGGACACAAATGCTCTTGGAACAGGGTCAGGGATTTGTACCTGGTTTGTGATTTCTATCCGTTTTTCTACATGAGAATTCAGCCAGCAGCACAGGCAGCTCTCTGAGGAACCTGAGGCTTCTGCTTTTGTAGAATTATAATTAAAAGTGGTCTGTGAAAGTCTTCTGTGAGGAAAGTGTCTTGTCTTTCCCACAACTCCAGCTCTGATCGTGTCTCTGAATAGATTCAGCTGCAGTTTTCCATCTTTGCCCCCTACATGAGGGCAGGTTTTGGTGGTGCAGAGCCCTTGTCGTTGTGGCAGTGGCTGTGTCAGAGCTCCCCAACCATCCTCAACTCACCCCATGTCTGTGGGGCTGCTCGGGATGTGCAGGGACAGTTTTGATCAGCTCTGCTCTCAAGTAATCTGCAAGTACAGAGCATGGATAAATCTGCCAGTTATCCACTGCAGATGATGTAATAAAGATAATTTTCCATCTTATTTTTAGGCTGTGAGAAAGGGAGAAAAACACCATAATGACGTGTCTAAAGCCCCTAAGACACTTGCAACAATCTTAGACTCATTTCCTCAATAATGCTTTTATTTTGCAGTTTTGGTGGTGATGTGTCTGTTTTCCTTCTGCTAGATCTCTAATTCATTTGGGTCTGGTGAGTCTTGCTCCTGGCAGCAGCTTTAGGACCAGGGTAATGTCTTTAAGGAGAGATGTGGCTGTTGTGCTGTGTGTGATGGATGGTGCCAGCCCCTGTGCCGGGGGAGAGCCGAGGAGCAGCTCCTGGCACGCCCAGCCCAGACACGGACACGCCGCGCCAAGGGAGTTTGTTGTGGGCCCGAGCTGGAGATAAACACCCCGGCTGGCATTTGGGAAGGGTGGCACAGGGTGGGGATTGTTGTAAGGAAGCAAAGAGTGTCACAGAAACAGAAAGCAGACTTGTGCTGATGTCTCTCAGGACTTCTGCACTCCCCTGGGGACCCTGGGGTTGCAGATCCCTGGAATGGTTTAGGCTGGAAAACCCCTCTAAGATCACTGAGCCCACTGTGCCCCAGCACTGGCAAGTCCACCACTAACCTGTATTCTACTTTTCAAGTCTCTCTTATCCTTAAATGAAAGAAAGACCCTGTCCCCCATAATTCCAAAAGAAACAGAAAGATTTATGGCTGAAATTATTGCCCTGAGTAGAGCAGGGCTCCGTCTGGCAGAGTTGGGGCTGGCCCAGGAAGGGCTGGGGTGCTGTGTGTCGGTGACCTGGCTCGGGGCTGTCACCTAGTCAGCTCTGGCACAGCTGGGGTGGCTGCTGTGGGCAGGAGGCTGGATGGGCAAGGGGTGCCATGGTTTTGGGAGCCAGCTTTCGGGGGATCTGCTTTTTGGGTGGCCAGTCTTCTCCACCAGAGAGGACAGACGGTGTCTGTAAAATCCCCTGGCACCAAGCTTTAAACACTTGTCTCGTGTGGATGCTGGGGGCTCGTGCTGTTGGGTGTCCTGGGCCGGGCTCCTGCCCTGTCCGGGACCCGTTCCCGGCGCTGGCCCTGCGCCTGGGCTGGCACGGGTGTCCCGGCCGGCCGGTGCCGTGCCCCGGGCTCCGCGTGCCAGGCCTCGTCCCCACGGCCGTGCCCTGCTTCCAGGCCTGCAGTGCGTGTGCCAGCTGTGCGAGCACACCAACTTCACCTGCCAGACGGAGGGCGCCTGCTGGGCCTCGGTCATGCTGGCCAACGGGCGCGAGGAGGTGGTCAAGTCCTGCGTGTCCCTGCCCGAGCTCAACGCCCAGGTCTTCTGCCACAGCTCCAAGAACGTCACCAAGACCGAGTGCTGCTACACCGACTTCTGCAACAACATCACGCTGCGGCTGCCGCTCGGTGAGTGCCGCCGGCCGGCGCGGCCCGGCTCGCTGGGGCTCGGCTGGGGGAGCTGCCGGCGCTC